CCGTTACTCCGATTAGGCGCGTTACGCGAATGTCGCGTCGCCAGGCCTTACCGAAGCTATTTCCCCGCTAACAATATATATTCTATGTAAAAAATGTACAAATACATATTTTTTGCTCAGTTTCAACTTATAAAACTCTTATAAAAATCTGATGTATATATGTATAACCTGTCTAAATACATATTTTTATAAAAATTTTATTATAGTTCCAACTTTATACAAATAAACAAATACTACTGTAGTTATTTTAAAAATTTAAAAATTTAATCAATAATAAAATAATTTTAAAAAATAAAAATAAAATTTTATAAATATAAAATTTTAATTTATTAAAATATTAATTATTAAAACCTGAATATAAATTTGAAATTATCAATATTCAAAATATTATTATTTAAATATAACCTATTATTTATTAATTATTTTATTATAAGAAATTTAAATTAAGAAATTAATATTAATTGTTTAAAAATTTTCAAGTTTAATTATTATTTTATTATTATTGCTTTTTTAAAATAAAATATATTTCAACAACTTCTTATTAATATAAAATTAATGCTTTTTTTATTTTTTTAAAAAAAAAAAAACAATTATTAATTTAATAAAAAAAAACATTAAGCTTATTTATATAAAAAATTTTGTTTTTTATTATATTTATTTATATTATTATATCTGATTTGCATAAAATAAAATATATAAAAAAGATATATATTATTTTTTATTTTCTTGTTATATATTATTTAAAAGATTTGATGTAATTAAAAATTTAGAATTAAATTAAGATAAATAAAATTTTTTAGAAATTTTTTTAAAAAAACTTATATATTAAAAAAAGAAAGAATTCAAAGATAATATAAAGTTCTTGAAATCAAGTATTTGTTTTTAAGGCCTTGAATTTCAAAAAATCTATAACGTTTTTTTTTCAATCAAATATTTTTTACTATAGATCTTATAGATAAATTTTCTTTTCTTTTTAAAACACAAGATATTTGTATCAAAGAAGAAAAAAATAAATGAAAAGGACAAAGTCTTCTGATAATAATGATATCAACGAAAGTGAATAGACTTTATTATTAAAATTATCTATTTTTGAATTGACAAAATAATCAAATGTAAATAAATATAAACAAATATATTAAATATAAAATTTAAATAATTTCTTTTTAATGTCTGTAATAATAATAATAATAATTTATTCTTATATTTTTATTCTATTAACTAAAAATATTATTATTAAAAATCAAGAGGCGTAACAAGTATTCATATTTCATATTATTGAAAATACTACCAAATATGAAAGTAAATTTTTTATTTAAATAGTTCAAATACTTAGATAACAGGCATGCGTCAACAATATGGATTAACAACTATTTCAAGATCTTGGACAATCAATTTCCTCAATAACACCCCACATCTCTCTAATGAGACGCAACTGACTTTGCCTGGTATTCTCGTCTCCATCGCAAGGAGATCCACTACGTATTGCTAAATATTTACGACCAAAAATATTTACTGGACCCTCATCAGGACCCTGACTACTTGTTGTGTAGCCCCCCGCCTCATTTAAAATCACCAGTGCTGCGGTCACATCCCTAGAAATTGGTTGCTTACGAGGTTAAATCATTTCTAAAAAAAAAAAAGAAAAGAAAAGGTGTACTTACCATTCCCAACATCCAACTTCGTAATATAAATCAATTGAACCTTGCGCTACGCAACAAATGTTCAACGCGGCACTACCCATACTTCTGATCCCACGTACGAATCCTGCTTTCTTTTCGCTCCATGTAACATTTCCTGGTTTTGATAACAAACTGTGTACAGAATTAACTTTTTTCCCGATAGTTACCGATGATCGATCGCTGCCATATTCTGTTAGTACGAGACATTGCGAAATATTGGATGGCAAGCGAAGTGGAGGATTTGGGTAGGACAATGGCAATCGGGTTGTTAAATTGAGAAATGCACCATGACCTTTTCGTGCTGTGAAAAGCTATAATTATAATATGTTAGGATTTGTCCAATTGCAGAGATAAAAAGGAATGATTATCAGAAATTTGTTTACTTGGTTAAGGAAAGGGTTAAACACAACACCGACTACCGGCTCTTTTTTGACAGTTAGACCAATCGAGACTGCGACAAAAGGGAATCTACAGGTAAATTCTACATTAAACGCGTACAAAAAGCGCCTGTATCAACAAGTATGATAAAAACAATTCATTGAAGTACCCGTGAACAAAGTTTGTGGTTCCGTCTACGCAATTAACAAGAGATCAGTATAGGGTGTCAATGAACGCGACATAAACGCGTACAAAACAATTCCCACCTATTGGATCAACAATCCAAGTAGGTTCGTCCTTGAATTCATGTTTATGTCCCGCAGCCGTATGTTCTTCCCCAATAAATCTTATGTAACCGACGAAGAATTGTCAAATAACCAACCTCTTTAAATGCATTAGGAAAACGAATCGACAATAATAATATGGTAAAATGAAATAAATGGTATACCCATGTTCTGGGAAGCGTTCCTTCAAACTCGATTTTATTAATTCCTCAACCAATCTATCGGTCTCGGTTACCAAATCCGCAGGATTCCCAGATTTCCCATAGACCATGCTATCTGTAGAATATCTCGCTTTCGAAGCATCCAGGATCATTTGACCGCATTGTTGAGCGAGTTTAATAGCAAATTCCAAGTAAATTTCTAAATCTTGTTCTCCTTTTAGAAGATGATGTTATTATACATAAATAAAGATAAGATTAGATAAAAAATTTTTTTACCTGTTGACATCTTGAAAAAGAGACAACACGTAAGCATACAAGTCAGCCAATCATTTTTTTATCCACATAGTATAAATTACTAATAAACACTTACCATATTTGTAAATAATTCGAATCCATACGTAATTTTTACGTCACAAACTCCTTGATAAAAAAAATGTCATTAAATTAATCAATGTTTGGGAAGTATCGGTATAAATTGATCTGATACTTTACGCAGGTTTAGAACTTGTCATATTCTTATTTATTATGAGTTACCCACCGCAACAAGGAGGATTACCTTATGATGGTCAAAATGTAACTGCCCATTATCCTAATACTGCGCAAGCACCACCCTCCGCGCAATTCGGCAGCACTTTTTACCCTTATGCACCTCCCTACTATCCACCGCCTCCGCCTCCGCCGCCACCACCACCATATAACGCTCACGAAAAATTTAATCCAAGACCAAAATATCAAGATTTATGTTCGTCATTTTACAGTTATTAATGCATAAAACGAAAAAATGTATGATCATTAACGTTAGGGCTTTTCGCGAATTGCGATTCATACAGGGGCTGCGATTTTCTTTCTATGTGACATTGTTGCATTTATTATCGTATCAATAATCGCGCTCAGGAACTACGCAGCTATACAGCGTCTTGGCTCGGCACCAGTTCAAAGTGTCACATTGAACTGGAGTACTATTTGGCTATTCATGATTTGTGTTGGAGTCGGATTGGTCTTGAGTGCAAGTTATTTGGCACTAGCACAAAAGTATTTAACATCACCATTCGTCCTTATAACGAGGTTGAGTTTGGTGTAACAGAATGATTATTCAGAAAGACCGTCGTTATTTTTTTCATTAATAAAAATAGATATCCTGAGCATTTCATAAGGGGCACATTCGTTGCAGCCATTGCGTTATCCTGGATTCTTACGATATATTTTTTTTCAATGAGATTTTTTAGTCTCGCAATTATTTTTGCAATACTATCTGTGCTTTATACTTTTTCCTGGTTTTGGTAAGTTGTCTCATTTAGTGGAGAAAATCACATAAAAACGTTTTATGATCAAACTTACCAATATATCTGTGCATGCATGTATATCATTAATAGGTGGAGGTCGATGATCCCATTCTCTTCTTTGATACTTCAAACTATTACAAGTATAACACAAAGATATAAAGGAATGATTCTAGTTGCTTTTCTAGGTCTAATAGTGCAAGCATTATTTACGATTTGGTGGATTTTTACAATTACCGGTAAAGTTATTTTCTTTTTCTCACGTGACTTATATTGAAGTAATTTTTAAATTGTTTTCCAGCTGCCTATCAAGTCTGGTACCCGGCTGCTTGCAAGCAACGTCCGGCAGGCAATATGCCCGCATCCAGTGCAAGATGTGATAACAGTCGATTTGTGGTCATTGTGATCTTCTTGTTATTCACATATTATTGGGTTTCTCAGACCATCTTTACATGGGTTCACGTCACAACCTCGGGGGTTTTTGCTAGTTACTATTTTCTCGAAGGGACTGAACAAGGTGTTCCTCCCTCACCGATCATTCAAAGCGCAAAACGTGCATCAACAACAAGTCTCGGTAGTGTTTGTCTAGGTAGTCTATTAGTTGCATTATTGCAAACGATTCGTGCTCTTTTAAGAATGGCGGCACAAGAAACCGATAATCCATTCGGTGCCTTTTGTGCTGCTTGCGCGGAAGTGATTATTGGATGTATCGAAGGGTTGTTGGTAAGAAGAGATGGTTTTTAGCATGTATCTGTTACCAATTCTCATGTGATATCGAATTATGTTTAGCAATACTTCAATTTTTACGCTTACACGCAAGTCGCAATTTACGGAAAGTCATTCTGGCAAGCGGTAAGAATTTCAATAAAACTATCATGACACTCAACTGTTCATTAATCTTCTCTTTCGATTTCATTTCTTGTGGAAGGCCAAGGTATGTTGTCAAGTATAAAATTTCCCAGATAATTCACAAAACTCGTTTACAATGTTGTTCTCACATGGTTAGGATACTTGGGAGCTTATTAAAGACCGCGGCGTAGAAGCTATTATTAACGATAATCTTATTGGAAATGTGGTCTTGATTGGTAATTCAATACAATATTACAATTGTTTTCCTGTATATTTATTTTATTTCCAAATACCAATCAATCCACAGGTTCAATTCTCGTCGGAATGCTTACGGCGTTGTTTGGATATCTTTATACAATAATTATCCATCCAAGCTTCAATCGAGATGGTGGATTCACTGCATTGATAATAGTGTTGTCATTCATAATCGGATTCCAAATGTTGTCGGTTATCGGATCAGTAATACTTAGCGGCACGGCGACAACTTTTGTATGTTTGGCCGAGGATCCACGTGCATTGGAACGAACCAAGCTAAACTTATATCGTGCCGTACGTAAATGAATTATATTACAAGTTTCACCTATGTGAAGTTAATTTGGTTATATACCTCTCGCTTCATTTATAGATAATAGAGACTTACCCGAATTTTGCACGGGGATTACATGTATAACACTGGTTTGAGGTTGTCAATCATCGGTATTTTATAATAAAATTAGGGAAATCATATCCGAAATGTTACTAGCATCCGCATCGCATCAAATTTACGCGTTACCAATAATATTTGAAAATTAAATCTGTTTTACAATATAAAAATTATCACTGAGCGCTTGTTAGCCAAGGTTCAAATTTTACCTTTGGTCTACAAAATCTTCGTTTACTTCTTTCGTAATTTACCATCATTATATTACGCGTCCTTACAATATAATTCCTCTATTTAAAAAGCAAATTCTGGAAATTTCTTTTCTCTATCAATTAAAAAAATGTATTGGTTTTGGCGTATTACTATATCTCTTATCGCTACTGCCATTTCCATAGGAACTTTGATTTCCTTTATTTCAGCAAGTGTCTTTAACGTTAAAGTTTCACTCAGTATTCCTAAATTGGATATCCATAAAATCCCTCCAGTAGATACAATCATACCTCAACTGGCTCAATCCGCTGCGGCAGCTGATGCCAGCATGACTTATTCTCTTCCAACTGCTACTCTAACAAGTAATTCTTTAACCGCAACCATATCCCTCGCGACAACCATCCCCAAAACAACAACAAAAGTCACGAACAAAAAGTCAAAAAACAATGATCTGGGAGACGAATTGCAAGATCCATCTCTGCCGAGCAATTTCAATTTTTCTCAAATAGCAGTTTCCCCTCAAGAATGCCTTTCTTTTGCAATAAAATGCAGAGATGTCCAATGTGCTTTCGATGACTTTGATGTAACTTGTGATCAAAATCTTGGCCCCATTTGTATGTATTTTATGATTTTGGGTTTTTTTTTTCTTTCTTTTTTTGCATCATTCCACTAATCGTTCGCGCGATAATTTCTAGGCACTTGCGGTAAGATACATGCGATAAAAAGCTGATGTATCGTTGGCAGTTATATTCTTTGTATGTACATTCTTTCAGCATTCGCTCACCATTCGCAACTATTGAGGTTCATGTAATGGGAAATACAAAAGGCGTCCAAAAAGTTCTAATGAAAAATGTAACTTATTACAGCTAGTTTAGCTAAAAGAAAATTATATTGGGAAAAAAAGAATTTATTAAAATTGTCTGTTGGGGAAAATAGTAATAGCGTATCCCGGATGTGAAACCGAAAATTATGTGTAGCATATATTATATATACTGTAATAGGACTGATATTAGACCGATTCGGACTTTTCTGGACCAATAACATTACTAGTTTAAATAATATAATAAATTTAAAATTTACTAGAAACGAATGTTTTGCCGAACCAATAAACTTAAAAAAAAGATTTGTATATTAACCTTTAATGTATTATTAATTTTTATTTATTTATTTAAAAATAGTAATTTATATTTTTATTAATTATATAATCTTTTAAGATAAATTTATATCAAATCATTAATCGAATATGTAAAAATTTTGTTTAGTAAAATAAAAAACGGTTTGAATATTTTTAATATTATAAATTATTTAATTTGAATGTATAAAACTTCAAAATTCAAAAAAATTTTACTTTTTTTTAAATAATGATTTTAATATTAAAAAAATGATAACTACAATAAAAATATTCAATTCAATTGATTAAAATAAATTTATTAATTTATATATCTTTTAAAAAAACACAAGTTTTAACTATTTTAAAAAATTTATTAAATATATTGTATATTAAAATTCTTATTCAAATAAATTAATTAAAAAATTTTTTGTTTTTATAATAATAAAATAAGCAATGATTATTATTTTTTTAAAAAATATATATAGTATATATGTACATATATATAAACTTATTAAAAATTATATACAGTCAACTCTCTTTAATTCATCCCTCTTTAATTCAAACTTTTGATAATCTGGACACTCATTTTTATTATTATTATTATTTATTATTATTATTATTATTTTTCATAATTATAAAATTTTGATAATTCGTCTATCTATATAAACTTATATTAATTTGGACAATAGCTTTGAAAATTTAGTATCCGAATTAAAGACAGTTGACTGTAATTTGTTATAAAAGTTTTTAGATTAATATTTTTTAATTTAATTTAATAAATAGTTATTTGATTTATATAAAACTTTAAAAATATATTTTTTTTAAACTAATAATAAAAAAATTTAAATTTTATTAATATTTAAATAATAGTTTTATTATAAAAAATATTGTTTTAAATAAAATATATATATATACAAATTTATTATATAAATTATAATTATAATTATGATTTTTTAAATAAAATATTTTGAAAAAATAAATTAAAAAATTAAAAAAAATTTTTTGTTTTATAAATTTATTTATTATTATTATTATTTTATTGTAAACAAATATAAAATATATGATTTTATTGATTCAAATAAAATTAATTAATATATTAATTATTCATTTAAGTTAATACTAGTTTATTATATATAAAACTTCTAAAATAATTTTATACTATTTAAGTAATATTACAATATAGTAATTTATAAATAGTTCATATCTATTTATAAACAATTATATTACATCAGGAAATTTTTTAACAAAGATCTTTGAAGATCTTTGGGTGTAGATCTCTAAAGAACCTCCATCATCATTAAAAGATTCTGAAGCAAAGGTTATTATATTAAACTCCGGAGATCTTCAATTTATTTTAATAATAATAAAGAATATTTATATTTACATATTATAATCTATTAATATTCAATTTTCAATGTTTATTGGCTTTTAAAATTATTTATTATTACATTATACTTGTTTACATTTATTTATTTGGTTAAATCTTCGCTTATTGCCAAAGTTCTTCTTTCTAATTCTCTATTTTCCAGTAATTGTCCTGAATCATTCTCAGTATTTTCACATTCCTCCAGATTATTACTTATAGTAATAATTTGTCACTCAGTTATTTCTTTATCTTCGCTACTTGAAGTTTCTTCTTTGAATCCAAGTCCTTTTTTAATTCTCTCCTAAAATATTATTAGCAATAATTTATAAAACTTCAAAGATTTTTAAAAATCCACCTTATTTTTTTCTACTTTGCTTTTAATTAACATTTCATTTATCGAAATACTTTCATTATTTGGATAAAAAATTGTTTGATATATTGCAATAGTGAAAAAATCTTGTTTCTCAGAGGCATCTTCCTTTGGTCAGACTTTTTTGAGAATACAGGCTATTATGCTTTGTGTCTCTTTTCTTGAGCATTTGTAAAGATTTTCAAAATATTCAGCAGTCTTCTGAGATTGTTTCCAGGCCAAAATGTTAGCGGCAGATATATTTATATTTATTGTATCCAAAAATCCTTTGCCAAAAACCAAAAACATGGCATTACAAATTTTTGAAACCATAGTCCCCCAAAGCGATCAATGTTGTTTCACAAGCTTTTAAAGCAATAAGATATTTAATAACTAATAAATCAAAGTTATTAATATTTATAAGAATTACCGCTTGATGAATATGTTTTTCATAATATGTTTTCTAGTATTTTCTTGTGAGACCTTTGTAAAACTCTGAATATTCTTATTGAAAAAATTCCTTGGTTGTTTGGCAAAAATCTTCAGGGTCTAAATATATTTTTTCAAAAAATACTTGTTTCGTGATACTCTTAACCACGCACTATTTTAATAAAATATAAGTTTTCGAAGACCTTTGAAAAAATTCAAAATAAATCTTATCTCGATAAAATCATGTTCAGTGATTAAATGTTGATTCACGTGAATTTCATTTTCCAGGTGGGTAACCTTATCCTCTATAATTTTTTGCCATTCTAACAATTGATTGATTTTTTTATAAAGACATTCATAGAACTCCATAATTCTTTCAATGGCTTTATTAGGGACTAAATATATATGTTAGTAGTATTTATTTTAAATTATAATAAATTTTTAAATATACTTGAAGTTTCTTTGGATGTTCTTTATGCTGATATGTCAAAAAAATATTCGAAAAAATATCCAGGTGATCTTAATTGCTTCCAAGGTGTTTCAGTTTCCATTTCAATAAGAGTTAAGAGTTTTTGTTTAGTAGATGGCTTTTTGGTTTCCTAAGTGCTCTTTGCTTTTTTAGAGGACTTCGAAGTGCTTCTTTGACTTTTTCTTTTTTTCTTTTCAGCAGAACCAGAAATAAGTTTTTGAAATATTTTACATGTTTCTTGTTTTTTGTTTGATATTAAAAAAAAAGTAAGAACTTTAGAGACCTTATATAATACAAATTTCAAGAAATTATGTCATATTATGACTGCTAACTTTTCTTCGTCACCTTTCAAAAATTACTTTAAAAATTTAAATTATTAAGTCATTATACAAAAATAAAATCATTTTATCATTTTATTAACATAATTATTGCAATCTATATTGTAAATTAAAATTTTGATTGGTTAAAATTAATCAATATTTTATTGATTAATTTTATGCATTTTTTAGATTCCTTCGAAGACTTATAAAATGAATTACAAATGTCAATTTTGTCAATGCACCTTTTCAAGATATTTCTTTTATACAAGGCATATTAGCAAATGTATTTTAACAGTGGACTTTAGTAACGAGTCTAATGAAGATTTAAATAAGTCAAAATTTTTTATTATTTCTAATAATACTAAAGATTTGCAGAGCATTTCAGAGATATTTTTAAAATATTTTGTTTTTATTTTTTTATTTTATTAATTAATAGTTATTTACTTTTAGACTTTTGCAAAGGATTTAAATTTTCATGAAAATAATTATCCCTTTAATAATGATTCTTATAATATTGATTTATTAGAAGATTCTTCAAATAGTTATGATTCTTCAAATTTTTTTGAAGATTTCTTTAATCAATTTTTCAATAATGCATATGTGGACTTAATAACTGTAACAAATTTATAGAACGTCCGACCGAAATCCCGATTTTTTCCCAAAAGTTAGAAGACAATCTCTCAAACGCTTTTAAGAAACTATAGGTATTTTGAGTAGAGGAACATCTTTTATTAAGGGCCGAAAAGACATTGTC